CAAAAACTCACAAGCTTTGTAACATTGTATAGTTAGCAGAGCAACTCAGGTGGCAAACTTGGGTGATTTGTTACGTGCGCATCAACTTCTTTATTAGTAGTGGCAGCAACCTGGCCAACATATTCAAGTAGGGTCAATTACATAGGAATTGTAGTGCTTAAATAAAATATCATCTGAATTAAAGAAATGAAAGAGGGAAACAGAGTTTAATTACAATAGCCTATGTTTGGTAGAAATTAAAAATAAAATTTAGATTTTAATGTAAGTCAAAGTCGACAACTCGTTTTAACTACACATTTAATCTACTTTTTTTTTTAATATCAAAATCTATTAAAAAAAAAAGATTTTAATTACCACCAAATAGGGGGTTAATTATAATTCTTGATTCGTTGGTCAGCTGATCAAATTGTTTTCACGTTTTATAAATGAATAATCATGATAAGAACATAAACCCCTGTTTGGTCGGAATTAAATCCAAATTTTAATTTAAATCAAAGTCAACTATTAATTTTAACTACATATATAACTTTTCTACCACACATTTCATCAACAAGGGCCAAGTATTATTTGGTCGAATTTATTAAAATCAATGTGTTTGCTAAACGGAAACAGATTAGAAATTTATACTTACGACCAACTTCAAGTTAACCTACGTTTGCCATTGTATTAAACGAGATCTCAATTGAATTGCTCAACTTTATTCATATTCTTGCCTTTATCATATTTGTTGTGTGCATAACTTCTCATAAGAAACTTTTGAATTGCGACTCATAAATTGTGCAGGACGATAAACTTTTGATTGACATTTCATTTGCTTAGTAAAACGTCCACGTCACTCTTTGCACTCTAATTCTTCTCCGCATTTTACACGAATGATCTTCATCTATTGATTCCCGTGGTTTGGCTTCTTGTCTTAGCTATAATTAATCTTCACCTTGAAACATGTAGTTTCTTCTAAATCTTGATCTTATCTTTATCAACATGCCTCATTACCTTAAACTTCAGTCAACCATGTTCAATGCTATTAGTCAAAGTCATTCTCGCGAATTAAAGCAGTTGTTCAAGAACTTGGAAAGCCGATTAATTTTGTTAATGCTAATCTTGTTTGGAATAAGATTAAATCAGGAATAGTTCATGTCTCACCTGCTTGCTGCTTATGCTGATCAATTAACATATTCATTCACCAAATCTCTATCAACATTTCAATTTCAGCTAGAAAACATGCACATGCACAACGAGTTAGTGCGCGTTTAACTATTATCGATATCTTTTTGAATTATTCGATATGTCTATGATATAGTTCTCGAAACGAGCTTAAAGAGAACGTAGGTAATTTGTGGATTCAATTGAAGGCCGAGATTTTTTAAATTTAGCATATTATTGAAATTCTCAAAACACTAGTTTGGAATTGTAGCAAAATTCATCTGAGAAACTAAGCATGTGTTTTGCCCCCTTTATTTCTAATTTTTCCACTGAATTCTACAACAGGTGTGGGCCGACAAAAAGAGACAGACAAAGGCGGAGCTCGAGTTTGGAATTTCTTCCTTGCCAAGGGCTAAATGGCTGGGAGTAGGAGACTTTCCCAAATTAGATGGGACGGATGAATGATCCTCAAGCTAGAGTGTTTCCACATTGGTTTGGTCTAGATATCGTGCGGAGAAAGGTAAGGCGGGCATGAAAATGAAATGATGCCTCTACATTCTGCACCTATATTTTGCCTCTCTCTCTGTCTGTTACGGGGACCATTTCACAACTGCCACTTCATCTTTTAATCCTCATTTGTTTTACATTAACAAATACTTTTAGAGTTTTTATCCGACTTTTGTCCGTATCCAAAAAAAAGAAAAAGAAAAAGAAAAACCGAATTATTTCGACTTTTTAATGGTACAAGTTAAGCTAATCGAACCTTTCTTTTGCTTTTAATTTATGAATTAAATACTTTTACCTGTGGGAATTGAAATTTAAAATTCCTAGGAGCGCTCTACGATGTCGAAATCAAATTTTACCGTTTACCAAATTTATGTTCCGTTTGCCAATTTGACCTTACATGTGGAATTGATACATTTAATAGCAACAAGTCACTAATTAATTGTTGTCTAGGTGATTAAATATACACGTCCAATTAAGCCTCTGTTAAACTGCCGGTTTGCGTAAAGTAAATAAAACAATGCAAAACACAACTCACGATGTGATGACGGAGAAACCCCAACTTGGGTAAAACTCTGGGACCAAGCCAGTGTTGGTAAATTTAATTGGTAGTGTATGGAGTGGAATCGGGTTCTCATATATAGTATTTGTGATTTAGACACTGGATTCACGCTTACCGTATTTGGCAGTTTCTTACCGTATTTGGCAGTTTTTACCGTATTTGGCAACTTTTCACCGTATTTGTCAGCTCACCAACTCACCGTATTTGACAGTAAAACTCACTGTATGTGGCAGTGAAACTCATCGTATTTGGTAGTCACCATATTTGGTAGAGAATTTTCACAAGAGTAATTAGCACAAAACGTTCCCACCAAATACGGTGCGAGGATGATTTTAAAGGTTGTGGAGGCATTAAGTGCCAATTTTTGTATAGGCATTCAGACTGTTTTTGTAATGCATCAAGAATGTTTTTGTTACGCATTAAGGCTCTTTTTGTATGGCATTAATGATTTGTGGCTAGGTGTGGACAAGGATATGATTAGTTGGACTTATCATCATCCATCCGTTGTCCAATGAATAAATGAAGTTTGATGCTTGTTAGTTGTTGAAGGATGATTTTAATTGTAATCAATAGCTTAGGTGTGTTTTAAAACTAAAAATAGTTGATGGATGAAATTGATGTTAAACAGTTGTTGGAGGATGATGTTGAAGTTAAATATTAGTTAAGAGCACTCAGTAAATGAAATTAATCTTGTTTGTCGTGGTGCGATTTTGAATATTTCATTATTGTCATTAAATCTCAATCTTACATCGCCTTCGGGAAAAAAAAAGTTACTCTCTACTCACCTAACTTTGCTATATGTTACTACTTGGTCATCACAATTTAAAACTCTACTCGTTGCTCACCCAAAATTTAAAAAATTCCTTTTGGAAGAAATCATGAAGAGAAGTCAAGAAATAATGGAAACTCAAGTAAGAAGATGTTTGGGCTATCGGAATTAAGGATTGAAGATTAAAGAAATTCATCATATCTTATTTAATAATTTTTGGTATGGTGAAAAGTTATGAGAGTCCATAATTTTTCTCATATTTTTATATTTTTTCAATCTCATTATTCTTCTTTGTCAAAGAATCTTGCGAAGTCTATGAATCATATAAATTCCTAATTTTATTTATTTATTTATTTATTTATTTATTATTATTATTATTATTATTATTATTATTATTATTATTATTATTATTATTATTATTTGCTTATTCCTTTCTTCGCCCATTTGACGTGGCTTAAAAAGTAGTTAAAAATTTAAATTAAATTAACAGTTAATTACACATTTAATGGAATTCACAAATTTTATCAACTTTTCAACAACACAAATTCATAAACTTTCATCAAAGTCCCCTAAAAATCTGACTCCCCAAAAACTTGTTTTCTTCCATTTTGACCTCGTTTCTTGATTCTTCTCAATCCATCAATATCCATGAGAGCATCCAATTGGTACTTAGCTTATTCAAGTCGCCGATTCCTTCATCGGATGATCTTTTGGATAATTTGCACATTGGTCCTTAGACTTTTGTTTTTCTTTCCTCAAGGGAAAAGAGAAACTCCTACATTTTGCTAATTTTTTTCCTACAACCGTTTAAATTCCAAAACTATCGAAAACTCCGATATTCATTGTCTAAATCTCAAAGATTTAAATAGTTGGATGTTGGAAAAAATGGGTTGAGTGGCTAACTTTGGCACAAAATTCGAGTGGGGCCCAGTTGTTTATTTTGGAAGTTCATTCACATTACATGCTCAATTAAAGGAGAAAACACACACACACACACACACACACACACACACATATATATATATATTTGGGAATTAAGCGGCCCTGTCTTTGCGTCCTTTTTTTGGAAAATAATTC